CCTTCATCACCTTAAACGAAATTGGGTGAATAAATCTCATATTACTGATTTACTGGTAGTCACGAAAACATTACTTAATTGGAAAAATAAAGTATACTAGTCGATTATTATAGTAGATATACGTTTGCTTCATCGACAATTCTAACAAAAGAATATGATATGGCAAAATAGCCTGGCCTTTCTTGAAAATTCACATTTTGCTCTGTGACCCAAAAGGCGTTCGTGGCAGTGTAGCCGAGTAGTTAACTTGTCAAACTCACATGCTGCACTTTTGCGGTTCGACTCTCGCTGAGGGTGTTGATAAGACCGATGCGAGGTCGAAACTGCAGTCCACCTTGGATGAGAAAAACTTTTGGCAAAGCAGCGCTATGTGAAATTCAATGGAAACGTCAGCTTAACTCATATCATTGTGGAAAAATTCTTCTTCTACCAGTCCTTCATCACCAAATAGGGTGAATTCATCTCATATTAATGAGCTATTATTTGATTATTATATATATTCATATGTACCGGTTTGTAATTATAAAATATTAAAATGAGTCAATTTTATAGCCTAAAGCAAAAGTGACAGGGTATTTACTTATCAGTGGACCTTTTGTTAGCTTTTTTTCTGTTTTTTTGTACTTTTGCTCTCTGAAAATTAAGGCAAAATAGGGACAACTTTAATGTCATAAAAATATGGTTGTTTATCTTTATATTCGTGTGGCCAATTTGTTCTTGGCAATTCGTAACAAAAGTTTGAGCTCATAAAATAATTAGTAAATTAGTCCGTCCAAATTTGCTTTGGGAATATCGAGCTTGAAGTTATTTCCTGATGTGAAGGCAACAGGCTACATGATCCTAAAAAAAGATTGGCCAAATTTGCTTTTTTAAATCAAATCGTTTCTCAAAATTTTTGTTTTTCAAATTTTACCATCCCAACATTGAAAGGTTTATAATACTTTTGAGGGAATTCTAATGCTTTAATTTCATGAGAATGTCAATTGGTGTTGGCTTACATGAAAAGTTACTGATATAGTCAATTTAGGATAATTGCCAATTTTCCTGAAATTATTTGCCCACTCTATAAAGCGAACTATTTGTTCCAAGACATTTTGGGCTTGCAACACATAAAATAACATATAACTCAATTATGTAGCATTTACCAAATCTAAATTGATTTCGTGCTGAATTAGTCAAACCTATTTAGAAGGAAATTCCATTGACTAGCATCTATCTGATACCGTATCATACTCGCTAAATCCTCCTACGCTGAGAGGTATTTCGATAAAGGATTATCATAAAACAGTTTCGTGATTTTGAGCTGTTTGCCGTTGATTAAAGACGTCAATGAAAATTTCCATTTTGTAGCTACCTGCATATAAAACTATTACCTAAAGATTCTTGACAAAATATTTAATTATTCAGCCTTATAACTACCTTAATTTTATATTTCAGCCTTACGAAAACAATTGCTTATTATCAAATAAAACTAAATGAAAGAAATTTACCTTAAAATGAATTGTAAGATTTTTGTCCAAGTTGGATCTCACAAAATCAGTATTTTCAGTAAAATCCAGTATTCTGAATATAATTATATCAACAAATTATGTATGAGTGCAAAGTTGGAGGAGAAAATAGAAGCGGTAGATAGAGCTACTTTCCCAGACAGTGTAGAGAAATTAAAACGGTTGTGGCCAGAAGACTTCAATTTTGGAATAAATCTGACCAAATAAAACGACTTCCGATTTAAAAACATCTTAGAGACTAATTCAAATTTAGTAAAATCGTCTTTTAAAACACCAAATTAAGCAAATATTTTCATAAAAGTTATTTATATCGATTCCTTGATTAATTGCGTATGTATATGTCCTTACTCAATGCTTTGCCTTACAACCACAAATTGTTTTCGGGATTCTAAATGAGAAACGCATATATTAATTAATCTTTTGCAGATGATACCTAAAATGCCCTTGATAATGTGTAAATGAGATAAGATTATTTAACTAAATTTCGTCAGCTTTTGCACCAAAAATATTTAAGTAAAAAAAACTTTATTTTATATCGCGTTATAGCTTTGGAATTACTGATAATTTTAAGAGATTCACTCATTAAATAAAAGCTAATTAAGTTCAGATCTTCATCCATGAAAGAGTTTAAGCATAAATATGATATTGCTGGGTTTTAGTCGGCTCGTATAATTAGAACTTTTGAGCAAAAACTCTAACCAGGCTCCTAAATGAGGACTTGTGTATATGAAACAAGTAAGCAAATATTTTAAATATTTTATTTTTCATATCTTTACGAATAGTTTACTAGCTAGTTCGGGGTATTCTGTAAACGAACGGTGTAAAAATGACAACAAATAATTTTATAGTGAGAAAGAATACCAGCTTGGCTTAGGTGCCTTCGAGTTACTTTAGCTTAGACAGATGGTAATCTTATATTTGCTCCGTATAAAACCAATTTTTTTAATACATTTCTAAGGGTTTCTCACACAATATGCAGAAAATATGATGGTGCCTAGTCATTAAAGCAAGGTAGAAACAAAGAAAAAAGCCTCTTCTATACAGTTAAGCAGGTAGAAAGTTGAGTAAGAATTACTTATGCTTGATTGATAGATTGAAAGAGAGAGAGGGTGTTAAGC